TATATATATTATATATATATATATATATATATATATATATATATATATAGATTATATTATATAGATTATAGAAGTTATAGAAATTTAGGTTGATTTTTATTAGGTGCTGAAGTTTTTAGCAATTCTGTAATTATTATTTCAATTCGATCATCGAAGTTGGAAATGTTATTAATATGAATACTGTTAATAGTTCTCAGTAACTCGATGTGCAGTACATAAAGATATTATGGTAACCAACTTAAGCGACAATTGCTCTAATGTAAGATCTTCCAACGGATATAATGTTGACACATACACCAGAACGCTATCGGGATTCCAAGTCTTAGTATATTTTGGAAATGAAGGCCTCAATTTAAAAATACCTTTAAGATATCTATTAAGAGCTTCAGATTGTTTAATATTTGACACTGTTAGAGAAATAGCCGATCGGAATGTATTTAAAGTGGAGTAACTACTTCCCCTTTCATATTCTGTTAACAAAAATTGCATAACATCTTTATCAGATGCACCAAAACAGAGCAATAGGTTTTCTTGACAGTATGACCAAATTTTAGAAGTTTTAGAAGAAATTTTAAAGAAAACTGGATACCAACATTGAGCTTCCCAAAGAGGAACCACCACAATTCCTTCTGCTCTATCTAATATTATTTTATTAAGTACTCTCATAACCAAAGAAAACGGAGGAAAAGCATAAAATTTGTAATTGCTCCAATTTAAAGTGAAAGCGTCTATAGCGAATGAATCGGGGTCTTTCTTCCATGACACATATTTTGGACATTTAGCATTAGATATTGAAGCAAATAAGTCAATCTGCGGTTTGCCAAATGTTTCCACTATTTGGTTATATGCTGCTTGATTTAACGAGAATTCCGTATCAATAGTTAGCGAACGTGATTCCGCGTCTGCTACTGAATTACTTTTTGATTCTATGTAGGATGCAAAAATAAGGATATCTCTAGTCTCACACCACTGCCATATACAGCGGGCTAAATAGGCTAGCTTAGGATACTTTATGCCTCCCATTATATTGATATAAGAGATAGAAGTGGTGTTGTCAATTCTTAAAAGTATTGAGCAAGATCTTTTATGTTTAGCAAAACTTTAAAGACCCATATGGGCAGCAAGTAATTCTAAATGATTGATATTAAACTATTTTGCATCTTCTGACCAAAAACCATGAATTTTTTCTGCATCACAACAAGCTCCCTATCCAGACAAGGAAGCATCCGAATAAATTATCATTTGATATGTAGATTGCTGCAAAGATGTTTTTGCTTGTGGTATGGCTGATATCCACCAATGTAATTCAGTTCGAAAATGTCTATTATATATATATATATATATATATATATATATATATATATATATATATATATATATATATATTTTTAAGCTAAATATTTTTTCCGTTCGAGGATTTTGGTGTAGAGGTAACCGTATTTAACTGCAGGGCAAATCGATATTAGAGAAATAATAATTCTCGCAAACCGACGGATTTCACAAGTTTGAAACTTTAAAATTGACCGAATTATTGTTATTGTATGGGTAATTTTTACCTGAGTTAAAGACAATGACATATCAACACTGTTAAAGATAAACCCTAAAAACGTTATTTGTTGAGTTCTAATGAGCGTACTTTTCTTATAATTAATTATGAGACTCAATTCTAGAAACAGTTCAATTGTAATTTTTAGATTATTATTGCATTCTGATTTTGTACTCCCTAACAATAAACAATCATCCATGTAGCTAAGAATAAGAATATTTCTAACTTTTAAATATTGAGTAACAGGTTTTAAAATTTTTGTGAATAAATATGGCGCGACTGATAAACCAAAAGGTAAAACGTTAAATTGAAACATTTTTCCCTTGTATTGAAATTTAAAAAATTTACGATGTTGTTTATTGATTGGTATTCCAAAGTAAGCATCCTTTAAATCTAGAGAGACCATGTAGCAACCTGAAGTAATTAAACTTTTTACAGACCTGTAATCATCTAACTTAAAATGTGGAGCTGTAATATAAGAATTTAATCGTTTCAAATTTAAAACAAATCTGTTTCCTCCACTAGACTTTGGTACTAGAAAAAATGAGGATATAAAGCCTTTCTTATTTGAATTACACGGTGCTTTTAAGTCAAAACTAGATTTCTTTAAAGCCTGTGCAGTTCTACACCTATTGGCAATATCCATTTTAAAAAGATCTTGATCTACTGGACCAACCTTGGCTATTTTCCTCATTTCAGGATTGAGCCTAGGTACTAGCTCATGTCGACGATGGAGAGATATGAAATATTGAGAATGTGTAAGGAGCTTCGCAACATCTGCCAAAGGTCCAACACAATCCGTAATGCTGTTTGTCGGCATTTTTAAGATCTGGTTAAAAAACAGCTCCGAAGGCACTTAAACCCTTACCCAAACAAGTTTGTATATGCTCTAGGTAGGAGTCTTTTTTAATATCCTCACTGGGGGCTAGCAACTTTACTTCCTCATTCAGTTTTGATAACCAAAAAGTGAAATAAGGAAGAAAATAAACCAATAAATAAATAAAAAATTAAGATAAACGAAAATCCGATGCTATATCCACGATATATATCACAAGAATATCACAGATACCATATACCGTTCCAGAAAGGTCTATAAAAAGATCAATACTTGCACAAAACATTGTAAAGCAAGTCGTTAGATTTTATTCCGCAAATTATTTGTACCAGCTTGCTTAAAGAAAATAATGTGTTGTAAGGCCTATAAATAAGGTAAACCCTTACACATTGGTATGTAAAAAATTAAAATAAATAAAAATTCGAATGCTATATCTACAATATATTATAAGAAAAACACAGATTTTATTAAACACAGATTTTTACCATTACATTCGTGTTGAAAATGTCTATGAAAAGGTCGATCGTTGCACAAAACATTATAATGTAAATCGTTAGAATTCTAATCTGCAAAATTTATTTTTGTATCGGCTTAATAAAATAAAATGTGTTGTAAGGCCTATAAAAGGTAAATCCTTACACACGATTACGTTAATATCTATCAATTTTGTGATACAAGGCCTCTATGAGGTAAATCCTTGCACACCATTTATTAATTAAGTCTGTGTATTTTACGGTCTGTGTATTTTAGTGTTATTGAAAATACGGCAAAATATTGTGTGGTAGGGCCTTTAAAAAGGTAAATCCCTACACACCGTTACGTAATTATATCATAAAATATGTAAGTGCAATGCTAACCTTATAATTTTGTAAAGAAAAACAAAAAACACCGTCAGCCATAATTTATATTAAGTGAGTGATGATTAATGTTATATTTGCGTTGAAAAATTCCCAATAACAGTAACAAAATTGATTAAATTACTTACAAAATTTATTTTTGTATCTGTTTGTTAAAATAAAATGTGTTATAAGGCCTATAAAAGGTAAATCCTTACACACGATTACGTAACTATTTTCATTATACCATCGATATGTCTTCATATTTACATAAACATCTATCAATTTTGTGATACAAGGCCTCTATGAGGTAAATCCTTGCACACCATTTATTAATTAAGTCTGTGTATTTTACGTATTGAAGATACGGCAAAATATTGTGTGGTAGGGCCTTTAAAAAGGTAAATCCCTACACACCGTTACGTAATTATCTCATAAAATATCTAAGTGCAATGCTAACCTTATAATTTTATAAAGAAAAACAAAAAACACCATCAGCCCAAATTTATATTAAGTGAGTGATGAGTGAGTGATGATATTTGCGTTGGAAAATTCCCAATAACAGTAACAAAATTGATTAAATTACTTACAAAATTTATTTTTGTATCTGCTTGTTAAAATAAAATGTGTTATAAGGCCTATAAAAGGTAAATCCTTACACACGATTACGTAACTATTTTTATTATACCATCGATATGTCTTCATATTTTCGTAAACATCTATCAATTTTGTGATACAAGGCCTCTATGAGGTAAATCCTTGCACACCATTTATTAATTAAGTCTGTGTATTTTACGTATTGAAAATACGGCAAAATATTGTGTGGTAGGGCCTTTAAAAAGGTAAATCCCTACACACCGTTACGTAATTATCTCATAAAATATCTAAGTGCAATGCTAACCTTATAATTTTGTAAAGAAAAGCAAAAAACACCGTCAGCCAAAATTTATATTGAGTGAGTGATGAGTAATGTTATATTTGCGTAGGAAAATTCCCAATAACAGTAACAAAAATGATTAAATTACTTACAAAATTTATCTTTGTATCTGCTTGTTAAAATAAAATGTGTTATAAGGTCTATAAAAGGTAAATCCTTACACGCGATTACATAACTATTTTCATTATACCATCGATATGTATTCATATTTACGTAAACATCTATCAATTTTGTGATACAAGGCCTCTATGAGGTAAATCCTTGCACACCATTTATTAATTAAGTCTGTGTATTTTACGTATTGAAAATACGGCAAAATATTGTGTGGTACGGCCTTTAAAAAGGTAAATCCCTAGACACCCTTAGGAAGTTATCTCATAAAATATCTAAAGTGCAATGTTAACCTTATAATTTTGTAAACAAATAAACAAAAACACCGTCAGCCGAAATTTATATTAACTAAGTGATGAGTAATGTTATATTTGCGTTGGAAAAATCCCAATAACCGTAACAATTGATTAAATTACTTACATGAGGAGTTGTTAGCTGATAATTCTGTGACAGCATTTTGAAGGTCTCATAGCTGTCTTACAATTTCTGATAAATTATGTTTTCTTTTCGGCATTATTGAGCACTAACACAAGAAACACTTTATAGCGACTAATGCGTAAGACACTAAAAGCAAGAATGAAGCCAGACCGGGTGTGACCGGATGGGATTTGGTTTTATTTTCTTTTAACTGGTGCGTGAGTCACAGCAAAGCAGTGATGCCATTGTGTTCTAGACTGATGGAATGAAGCGAAGTATAATCTACTTTATATACGTAACATATTACAAAAATCTTACGTAATCTACTAAAGGCATCGATGCATGCATCTCCTACTAATGTACGTCTGTCTTCGTTGTAAACACCTCGATTAATATATTTTTGTAAACAAAATTTTTTGTAGGTATCGACTAAATATGGCGGCGGATTAATTTTTACCGATAACACCTTGTGATGTTCCCCTCTATTGATGGCTAGTACCTAAAAAATAAAAAGAAATATAATGAGTTGCAGCCTATAGTAAAAAATCGTCTTGTGTTACATATGAAGCGAAGTGGTATGTATACTAATCGAGACATGTAGGGTGCGTCCAAATAAACTATGAAAATTTATGACCATATATTTTATATCCAGTCGGTCAGATAGCTCAGCGGGCTGTGCGGCTGCCTCTCATTCGCTTCACTGTCGAATGGTTTAGTGGATGTGGGATCGAGCCCAAGCTCGGTGTACAGAAAACAAAAAGTCTAACGCAGCAGTTTAAAATTCTAGATGAATCTGCGGCTTAGACTAGGATATGCTGGGATCTGATCGGCCTATGGTGGAGCAGTACGGCAAGAGATAAGGGCTTGCGGCTTGGTGATACTCCTCCATAGATCCCTACCGGACAGGCGTAACGCCTAAAAAACCGGATATATATATATATATTTTATATCCAGCCCTTTCAGATGAAAATAATAGGACAACTTGAGAAAAAATAAAAATCAAGACAAACTAGAATAACAATTGAAGAGGTGGATTCCAAAAGGTCTTAAGTCATAAAAGTAAATTTTCCAGGAAAGAAATTTTTTCTATGTTTAAGAATATAATTAGACGTTACTTTGGAATAGAATCAGTCATGTAATTTGCAGGTTCAAATTTTTTGTTTCAAGACAATTGAAATTAAGATATGAATACAAAATCATGGATTTTAAGAAGTTAAACATTTGGTTTTTTTTTTTCGAAACGACCTAAGTCAGTGACTTAAGCACTTTTGGAAAATTCATGTGGGAGACAACTTCATATTATTCTTCATTTGTAAGTTATTGATAACCAGAGCTTGTCTTTATGATGTGAGCAAAGGTTTAATAACTATCTAAGTACATAATCAAGAATTAATTTTTATTCATCAAAATTAATTATTCACATTTTTGTCCAAATTTGAAAAATTTATCAAGTAAAAGGCTCTACTTCATCGTACACTACAGTATTATTATCGTTGAAAACCATTTTTGCACATTAGTAAGTGCAGTATGTATTATAAAAGTCTTTTGAACTTTCAGATAATGAAATAAATTTGAGGTTTTCCACATCTTTTTTCGTCTTTTCACTTACATGATTCACTAATGGCATATACTTCACTGTACTGTACACTTCTAGCAAATTACATCCTTTTTATAACTTAAAAAGTACTAGAATCACGACAGTAGGTATTTTTAGCTTTAATGTCTTTATTACTTTTATTTGAAAATGAAAAACTCGTTGTTCACGCATCAAAAAAGGGAGCTTCTTCAATAAAACTCGTTTTGCAGTATCCATGAAATCAAAAAGTTCCCAGTCTTTTCCTAAAACTTTAATTGTAACTGAAACTACTTCATTGGAGCCTCGCCCACTCTGGTTTTCAGTCCATGTGTACACAAAAATATTAGTAGAATCTTGTGTATCTTTAAATCAATACAAAAGTAAGGTTATAAATCCAAATTTGTCGAGAATAAAATACCTCACCAACTCTTAGTTTTGAAAGAGGCTGGTTTTGTTCCATGTCAAAAGATACCTTAACTACATTAGCTTCTGTTCTTTTAAGCTGTTCAAAAAAATTTCCTTAGCTCGTAACTTGTGCAATCTGTACTTAGTAATAAGGGAAGCTTTTTCTTGAAAATCTTTGCATAAATTTATTTCACTTTTTGTTAGATCACAAATGAACAAACGTCTGTCTTTGGACTGCCAAAACTTCGATGAAAGATGTAATTTCGTCTGGGGCTAAGGTAACCGCGGACGCTCTTACCCCGATCAAAATATTTTTCACAGCATTTTATGATTTTGTGAAATCAATCATTGATTGAGCTGTACTTGAATCTTTGGGTTTTATCCTAGCTCAACCTCGCTTTTCACTAGGACATTCTCCTGACTCTTTTAAAGCTTTAGCTAATCGATTCACTTTTTTTGATGAAAATTGTGTGATGGAAAGGAATGTGGAATTACACACAGTTAGACTCTTGATGGAGAAGGTATTTGAATACGAAGTTGTTCTGATCAGCAGCAGTCTTATGTGAGTAGATTTTATCATAAAAGCTACTTACATAATTAGGAGTCAATAGATATGCCGTACAAACATCACCTTTGAGCACAAACAATGCGAGGATCTGGATGAGCCTCTTTACTATTTCTTGCGAATTTCTTTTAGTTTTGCGAGTTTTATTCCACATGTCTTCATTTTTCTCTCACTTCCTTTTCTTGGGACTATTATTGTCGTTTACAGATACTGAAAAATCGCTTGTTACAAAATCTAAACTCATTTGATACTTATAACATACGTTTTCGATTACTCACTTGTTTCACCTCAAAGAGTCAACATAACCAAAAACTCACAGCAAATGCAAAAAAGATGCCGACAGCTGGAATCGCACATGCGCAAACACTGAACAGCTGACTTAAGCCTATTTGGAAAAGAATACGGTATGAGTAAAGCACTTTTGGAAAACATAAATGAACTTTCACTGAGAGATAGTCCATAAGAAAAGAAAACAAAATGTATGTTGATCTCTAAGAGGAAACAGCAAATTGAAAGAATCAGTGTGAATGGTCAACCAATAGAAAGAGTAAAAACATACATCTACCTTGGTACGAACGTCAATGAAAATTGCGACTATTCCCTAGAAATAAAATGTAGGATAGAGAAAGCGAGATCTGCATTTCAAAAAATTGCTAAGCTATTCAAATACCATGATTTATCAGTACCCATAGAAATCAGGTTAATACGATGTTATATATTTTCTATACTGTTGTACGGAGTTGAGTCATGGACTCTCATAGACGCTATCTACAAGAAAATTGAGGCTTTCGAAATGTGGCTTTATCGTCGAATCCTGAAGATATCCTACACTGACCACGTTACTAACCAGGACTTTTTATTAAGAATGCAAAAAGAAAAAGAGTTGACAACCACAATAAAAACAGCCAAAATCGAATAACTCGGTCACATCATGAGAGCAGCGATAGCGAGATATGGCTTACTGCAATTAATTCTACAATGAAAAGTAGAAGGAAAAGGACCAGGAAGGCGAAAGATTTCCTGGCTGCAAAAATTGACGTACGCGGTTCAACACAACAACCACAAATCTTTTTAAAGCAGCAGTTTCCAAAATACAGATTGCCATGATGGTCGCCAACATCCGAAACGGATGTTGGCACTACAAGAAGAGGAAGATACGAAGGAAAGTATTTTTTATCCAGTTTTACCTAGCAGGTCTATTTAATGAGTTAAAAATAGGGAAACACGTGTATCCATGGAAGACTGAATCCGGTAATCGGCAAAAATTTATTTAAAGCTAGGGATTCAAACAACACAGTGCGGAAATGCTTTTCGATTTCTATCAAATTTTCATGTTAACTTACTTCAATAATTTTAGGTGTATGTTTATATATCGGTATTCGAGTTTGCCCTTCAAGGCTACCAGAAATAATTACATAGATTTCGCTGATACACGGTAAAAACATATTCACACAAAAATTCAGGATCTTCTTAAGGAAAATTAGGTATACATTCTGGAACCGCTGAATACCGCTATTTTCATTGTACTTCTAATTTTCATTTCGTTTCAAAAGTATGTTTGGATACTTCATTTGCCATCTGTTTAAGAGGTAAACGTGAAAGTGTAACTTTTAATTGTAAAATAATTGCCATCTGTTTAAGAGGTAAATGTGAAAGTGTAACTTTTAATTGTAAAATAATTGATTAAACGACTAGCAAGCAGTTTCTTTTAAAAATTACTACCTACTGCTGTAAATAGTGCTTGTAAATGCACTGTAGTGCATAAGCATAAATGGATATAGTTTTACATATTTTTAGTTCAGTAAAATGTAAGTTCTACATACCTGATGTGGTTTAATAAACTTCACTGGAATACTATAATCGAAGTATACCTGAAACTTTAATTCATCGATTGGTTTTTCTTGTATAACACTCTTCTTCGTTTTGGCTTTTGGTTGTTTAGCATGAAGTTTTTTGGTTTCTAAAGTAAAATTGACATTCTGCCGTCTAAAATGAACGTTTTAACACTTTAATACAATAACCTTACAATTACCTTCTAACAACTTACAAATCTCTTAAAAAGGACAGCATATCAGAATCCGTTGAAATTTTGTGTGCGATAATATGTATCACACCGTTTTGAACATCCTCAAGCGATTTTAGTTCTTCTTTGGATACATCTACCCACTGACTTAAATCGACAGCGCAAGTATTATTAAACAAAGCAGTAGCAGGCTCCTCTAGACCCAATGATTTGGCTCTTTCTGCCAAAGTGCGTTTCGCTTCTGGCTTGTAAGGTGCATACTGAAAAAGGTGTTTGTAGAAGTAAATATATGTGAAGACTGGAAGACAATACAACCAGTGAAAACCGCACATTGCAAAATATATATGGGACGCATATGTGCCAATAGAGCTGAAGAAAACAAGCAGAAATCACAACAGGCTTCCTTACTGAATTATTATGTACCAGTCAAAGGATACCTGAATATAATAAGGTTGTTTCATAGAGACTTAAGCAGCAGAATCTGTGACGTTGAACCTAAAATAGTCAATAATATTTTGCATCGCTCTATAAAGAATATAAAAATAATAATGAATATAAAAAAGAGAAAACTTGAATACTTAGGCCACCTGATGAGAGGTCAAAAGTACACATTCCTACAAAATATATTGCAAGGAAAAATCCAAGGACGCAGAAATCCAGGCCGTAGAAGAATGTCCTGGATGAGAAATTCAAGAGAGTGGTTTGGCTGTACCACTAACGAATTATTCAAAACAGTAGTAAATAAAATTAGAATCGCCATAATGATTTGAGTGCCTCTCCTATCTCCGATAGGAGAGGCACTCAAAGAAGAAGAAGAACATATAAAGAGATAGATAGATAGATAGATAGAAGATAGATTAGACTAAGTCACTCTTTAAAACTGCTTCTCAAGATAATTCTTAATAGAATCAAGCAGAAATGTGAAGAAACAATGGAAAACAAACGATTCGGTTTTAGAGAATGATTGGGAACAGGGAAGATTTGTTCTCAATGCCAAACATCAGGGAACTTCAGGGAAGAATGATTACAAGATCATGGGAAGTACAGAAACGAATTTTGATTTCCACTCCAGAAATAGTTTTCAAAAAAGATTATTAATTGGGGCTTTTTTATACCAATTTGACAGGTGCCTTGTATTCTTGTAAGTTTACCATTAGTAATCAAAATTCTGATTTTCATTAATGTTGGTATGTTGTTGCTAACTTCTTCTTTTAGTATTTGTAACCAGATCTTACTACATTCTGCTGACGGATTTACTACAAATTTTTCTTCATTAAGTAAGACGTTTAACCTGATACTTAGTGATCTTGTGTTACATAAACCCCAAAAATTAGCCAAGAAATGCCAAGTAAGACATCAGTCAAATTGGTGTATCTTTGAAAAGCTATTTTCTATTTTAACGAATCATAAATATCCGCAATACCTTACAGTGAGTAATGACTGCGGACTTAAATTGAACATTAAGAAGACAAAATGGTCATAAGTAAGTCGAAGACTATATAGTGTATAGAACACTGAAAGTCCCTGTTCTCACATACGGATCAGATTCATGGACCCTAACCAAAACAGACAAATCATCTCTATATATTTTTAAAAGAAAGGTACTGCGCAAGATATGCGGAGCGATCTGTGAAAAAGAAATATGCAGGCGTAGGATATAACTTTGAAATGCAGAATATCTGCAAGCATAAGGTTGCTAGAAAATATATTACCACTATAATCAAGCGAAACCGTCTGCAGTGGGCAGGACATGTAGCTCGAGTCCCGGAATCGAACATGATAACAAACATTCTAATAGCGCAACAGGTGGGTTTAAGAAAATAAGACAGACCAAAGCTGAGGTAAACACAGGATGCTGAGAAGATCAGTGTTGCCAACTGGAAAATCCAAGCAAGGGACAGAGCAGAATGGCGCAGAAATCTTGAGAAGGTCGAGACCCTATAATGGCTGTAGCACCGTGATGATGATGACAAAGTAAGTCGAAGACCGAATGCACGATACTGTGGGCAAATAATCAGGTAATAGAACGAGTGTCAAACTTCACATATCTCGGATGTACACTGACAAAAGAATAGATCAGATAAAACTATCAGAAAATAAAATGCCTAATTGAAAGAGCTACAGCCGTCTTTGTTACTAAACTAACTAAATAAAAAACTACAATATTTTGCACACAGTATGCGAAACGAAGGAAGGTTATACTCTACGGACATATTGAGGGTAAGAGAGGTCCAGGAAAAACAAGAATTTGTTGGTTTGCAAACCTTTGCAAGTGGTTGAGGAACATGAACCGAGCTGTTCTGCGGCGTAGCAAATAAGGTTCGCATTGCCATGATGTTGATAGAATGGAAAGGATGCAGAATGTTGATAATGGGCTTAAAAGACAGAAAATGTGTTTTAAGTGGATACGGAATGTTACGAAGGTGAAATATGTAGTAGAACAAGCAACATACGAAGTAGAAATTTGCACATTATAACATAAAGCAGGACGATAGATGGAACAAACAAGTACTGCGATGGCGATCCTGGGAATCAACACGACAAAAAGATTGACCACATATTGTACCCATCCACTATACCTATACATGGTTCCAGAATTCTAGGAAGGATATCATCAATAAATGGAAGATGTAATTAGCTGCAGTAGGACAAGTGTATAACAGTTCTAAAAAAAAAACAATGAAAACATTTAGATAGTTTTTAATAAACGCTTTCGTTTAGAATTTTAAGGTTAATTTTAAAAACAAAGTATTATACATAATAGTATATTATATCTGGATGAATATATTACTTCTAAAAATTGAAAATGTACGCCCAATACTTACAATTATTTCTAATTCCTCTAAACTTTTGGAAGATTTGACGATTAATTCTATTTGCTTATTTTTTTGCCCAGTCTTTTCTAAAGTGTTTACCACAGTCTTAATTTTTTGTTTAAGGACGCAGATATCGTCATAAGCACTTTTAACATCTCGTAAATCTTCAGGAGTCATGTTACCTAAAAAGGAGTCACGACTAGATTTATTATATATAATATTGTTGCTTAAAAAATAATGAAACTAAGAAAAAAAGATACAAACGAAATTGACATAGGAATTATTAACAGCAACTAAAAATAAAGAGCAATAAAAAAACATCAAAACTAGCTTAGATGAGGCTTCGCAAAATATTCTAGGGCACAAAACAAGACAAATAAGGAAAAGCTGAATTTCAGGCGAAATACTAGTATGCCAATTAAGTTTTAGTTTTTTACTCCACATAACTAAATAGACAAGTTTGACAGTTGAAATGTGTAATATAAGATATTACAAAAAGACTCTCATCTGAGATTGATCAGTTTTTTTTGTGGCAATTTTTAATAACAGTCAAAACGTCTAACTCATTATTATGCTCGTAACTTGAAAAATTGACGTCAAATCTTTCAAATCTTAATCTTAACTTAATCAGAAAAAAAATACACAAAATGAGATATGCTACAATTAAAATCGGATAATAAACAAAAAAGTTATAGCAAAATTAACAACAAAATCGCTGTTTTCGAATATTGTTAATAACTTTTTTATTATTGTTTATTAAAATTTGTTTAAATGCATCTGAACTGAAGGTTTTGTCGTGTTTGAATTGTGTACAACAGATGAGTCAAATTGGTTGAATAGTTTTTGCGAAATTTAATTTGTTGATAAGATTTTTTGAAAATTGAGCTAATTTCTAAGGCTCGTCAAGATCAGTGTCGGACCCAGAGGGGGGGCACGGGGGCACGTGCCCCCCCCCAGACGAAATAAAAATACACTAGATAAAATAGGTTCAAAAATTCTTTTATGAAACATATTGTACCTGATTTAAATAATTTATTTCGGGAACATAAATGAATTAATTGGTTATATTACAATATAATATTATTACATAAAATAAAATAATATATTCTGTTCTACAGTCAAAATATCTGCTCATAGAATTGATTATAACCCAAGGATGGTAATAAAGATTAGAAATTTGACATCGGACTTCCGGTTTTAGTGTTATAAAAAGAAGTACCATTTAAAAGCCACCGAAATAGTATAAGCGATATATTATTCGACGTGCCGGAGCAAGATGAGAACAAATGTATACTTTTGGTTAAAAAGTTCTAATCGGAAGTGCTATATTATAGTCGCAGAAATAATACATGTGACATATCATTCGAGGCGTATTGAGAAGTCGAGCTTGAATCTTTAGTTCCGGTTTTTAAGTTATTTGCATTTAAACAATTATGAGCGAAAGTTTAGTAAAAATTACTCAAAATTAGTGAAATCATATATCAATTGACGCAAAGTTACACGAAGAGTTCAAATAAAGACTTGCGGTTCTACTTTCGATCACTTTGGGTGAAAACCTAAGACTTACGAAGTCATACGCAATTTTTTTCTCATTTAACCGACTATCTCTTACAGTTAGAGCTCCATTTTCCCGGCTTCTTTTGATTTCCCGGAAATGGGTAGTCGGTAATTTGGATTTCTGAGGAATTCTCGGTAATTAGGAAATTTAAAAACAAAAAGAAGATTGTTTTTTTAAATTTTTAGACACGTTCAAAAATTTAAAAGAAAATTCAAAATTTGTGAAATAAATTAATTTGAAATAATAGTTCTTAGTGCAGTGAGTAATTTTTTTTAAATGCCCGGTCAGCTGATTTGAATTGTCGTACAGCGCGACCACTTATTTAAAATGGCTCCGCCCACCGATGGACCGATGCGCTAGATCCTATCCCTGGTTGAGTTTGTTGAGTATATATCGTGACGATAGACGACACTGCGACAGTGTTGTGATCAGTGTTTATAAACGTGTTTGCTACGTGCCGTAACTGAAAACTCTAAAGAACAATAAAAACTAAGATTTTCTCGTTGTTACTCGTTTTATGTCAGTGTTGTGTTGTATAAAATGAGTTCTAGTGGAGGGAATAAAAGACAACTAGGCCTTGACTCCTTCTTTTCTAAAAAACCTAAGGTAAGTTCGATAAACATATTCATTTAGTTTTAGTTAACACTGCCTTCATTGCATTGGCTTACTGTTAAAAATATACTATTTTTTTATTTTAAAAGTTTGTAGTTTGCACTAAAAGCTGTTTCTATTTTCTAATTTGTACTATTATAAAATGGCGACCATTTGTTGTTGTTGAAGCTTAATATCTTAAGGACATTAAGCAAAGATTTGCGTATTTTCTAAGCAAATAAAAAAGATTACTAAGATCAGATTACAAATAACTGAGAATATTAAGTTTTTATTAAAAAAATGCCAATCTTGTGATCTTGTGAGTATGCTAAATGTTCATGTAATGTTTATTGTATTTTCATTATTTTCAGGTGGACCATGCAGATTCTCAACCAGGAAATCAAATAACAGCTAACAGTAACATACCTGTTAAAGAAGCTCATGTATTTGGGGATAAGGAATCAGGAACAGATTGCTCTGCATCAGGATTAGGAGTCAGCTCTTCTAACTTATCTGTTCGCAATTTTGGTCGTCTTCTTAAAAATGGAGATATCACACCATCACTTCTAACAGATGAAGAGAAATATCAATGGATAAAAAACCCTTGGGTGCCATGTCAAAGTTTCATATTCCCAATGGTTTCTGAAGGCAAGAAAAACCGCTCTTTTCAGCAAAGCTGGTTAAAAACACATGAATGGCTAGTTTACAGCAAGCAATTACATGGTGGTCTATGCAAGTACTGTGTTATGTTTGGTCGTAGAGAAGGTGGGAATAATGATGTTAAATTGGGGAAGTTGGTTGTTGAACCAATGACTTCTTATAAAAAGGCCACCGAATTGCTGAAGAGTCATGCAAATACTGAATACCACAGCCGAAATGTGGTTGCATATCATAACTTTTGTTTGATTCATGAAGGAAAGATTAGCAATGTAGTAGCTTGTATGAATACAGCAGAAAGAAAAACGATCTGTGTACGCGAGGAAGCACAAGCGAAAGCTGTCTCTCAAGGTTTTATGAGAAGATGGTCGAATAAAAAGTAATTTTCTTTATGTTTTTACCTATATTGAAATACAGTATACTTATACTTATGTGTTGTGTATTTTTATCATATAAACAACATTTTGTAGATCTTAAATTCATGGTAACGGCTAACAGGTCGAAGTGTTCTGACCAGTATTTTTGAATTAAAATGGTAATATTCTATATTGATAATTCTAAAGTTCCTAATAAAAGGCAAACAAATAATTTTGAATACAACTGCATATTTTCGTATAAATAAGTTCATTTATTAAAAAAAACAGCATTATGTATTAAGTCATCGCAATTCACAAATCTCACTGTAATACATAATATTCCTTATTCTAAGTTTGAACCTTGTGCCCCCCCCAAGACAATTTTCTGGATCCGCCCCTGGTCAAGATCATTTGACTGAATGGATCCCAATAATCCGGGTCTTATTTTCTTCTTTAAGACATAAAAAAAGTCTCAAAAAATTACATTTATGTACACAAAATGATTTAATAATAAATAGCGCTTTTTACGCTTATAAACATTTACAATAGGTAACTCCGTAGATTTTAATTGCAGTTAAATGGCTAAAAAATATTTAAAAAGCTGGTATAGTCGACACGTAATTTCGTGAGAAAATTTACAGGACCCAGAGCGAGCCAAATCCTAGAAAATGGCAACAATGTTAGACTGGCCACTGCTTCGTTAAGCAGTAGCGTAGATATCTAATTTTAAATTAGATAAAAAAGTTTTTATTTTTATTTAATTTTATTTAAGAAAAAGTTTCATTTTCTATAAAGTTTAAAGAAAAAATATTGGTGTTGTTAACTTCTGTGGTATATCTAGGGAGTGATAACACTAATAGGCTCACTAAACAGAACTTATTGTAAAATAATAATACCTGTAAAAAATTGTTAATAAAAGGTATTATCACATACAATTAAACAATTTTTTAGGTAAAAGTATTTTAGTATACAAACGTTTTAATAACACAACTACAAATCTTAATTATGCTGGATTTTCACAGATCCGGTGACACGAAATACGAAATTTTTTTTGTACGAATATATTTGATTGTCGTATCCGAAATTTTTTGACATATTTGTGTTATGTGTCAGATTATTGGATGGATTGATATTTATTTCAATGAACTGTCAATAAATGTTAGCTGTTTTGTTTGATATATAATATATATTATATTGAGCTACGTTCTCGTAATTTTTGCCTCACATAGTGTAGAAGACCCAAAAGCAACACTTTATTCATTGCATTTATATAATAATTAGGTCTTTGTTCCATTTTAAATATATTTCAAATAGTAAACATAAACACTCCACAAAAAAAAAGGTTAAGGTTAAAGTTAGAAATGTCAACAATGTCAAAATTTATTCGTGCAAAAGTTAAAATATTTTTAACTTCTTCCGATGACTTTTAATTTTGTACGAAAATTTTACCTGTCATTTTTCAACCAATGAAATTCTCTGAAATTTATATCGTATCATCGTACCATCGGATATCGGATCTGTGAAAATCCACCTTTATTGGTTGAGTGACAAGGTTTCATGTGTCACCTCGATTTGTAGAATGTCATTCTAGTTTGGTTTTATTTATGTTCACGGATGGAACCTTGGCATTGTAATGAGTCAGAATTGCGTTGTTAGCCAGCGCTGTTGTCAGATCAAAATATAAGGAAGATCAGTTGGAACCTTTTCACACTAATAACTCCAAATATGCGATTTTGTTAGTTGGAACCCTGTCATTTTAACCTAACCATATGTTGTACGTTTTTGTTCTATCATGAAGTGTATTCGTACTCTATTTTCAAAGATATATAAGCAAAACGAGAATATCTACAATTACAATAAAAATAAAGGTTTCAACTAACACCTAGTTGGAAATAAGAACTTAAAAATCTACTCAGATTCACTGTTATCACTAGTATCAGTTGTATCTTCTAAGTTTATAGTTAATTTGGTTATTGCTGGTAAATATTTAACATAGTCATTTTCCACTTTGATTACATGTTTGATTACATTTTTGTAGTTGGTTGCTGTGATCTTTGTGACTTCTCTTCTAATTAACTGGAGAGCAGTAGACAAAAATTTAGGAGCCACGTTTTTTCTTCTTCTATTTGCTTTAAGTTGAGTCCATATTAACTCTATTGGGTTCAATTTACAATAGTAAGGAGGAAGTCCAAGCACGGTATGTCCATTACTGCGAGTACAGTTATCAACAACATATACCTTCTGGTACTGTCTACTATAAACAATCTCCAACAATTGCTTTTTACTATGATGCCTCAAAGTACAAATCTCTCCCAAATAAAAATTCTTGAATTTGTTTCAAGTACTATTTGGAATTTTCTCATTAATCTTGAATGATATGATACGTTGTCCATATAATAATCACACTATATTTAGGTAATCTCGGAAGAAGAGATTCTTCAAACCATGATTCAAAAATTAAACTTTTCATGTCCTCATGATAATCTAAAGACGCATCTTTATTTTTTTTTGCAGATAATAATACATAATCGATCCATCTATTTTCTCCACCGCAGTGTAAAATTATAATTCTCTGTCCTGTCATGAGTATCACACCAAGTCTCATCTAAATAAACAAGATTTCGTTTCATTTTTTGATACTCAGTTATCTATCGGATAGAAATGTCTCTTTAAGAAATAATTATTCTAGTACTTTCCATTAGTGTTTGGCGCTTGTCTATAGATTTTTACTTAAAATTATGGGTTTTAAGAAATCATCAAAGTGTTGTTGCTGAATATAAGAGAATAAATATCCTTTCGAACCAGTTCACTTCGAAAGCTTTCAATAGTTGGAAAAATATTAGCCACTTCCATTTTATATATTGTTCTGATTATATGTTCCTTTAGGTGCGTTTCTATTTGTGTGAATTTGCACAATCCTTTCTCACCTGTCTAGAAGAAGATGTTGCTCCTATAGTCTTGTATCAGATTGCTTTCGACACTCTGATAAACATGTTTCTACAATTGTTTCTTATTTAGACAATTTAGAACACAATCCTTCATAAACATGTTTCAGCATATGTTTGGGATCATTAGAGATATATTGAAAATGTCGCTTACTTTTTACTACACAGCTTTGTATATATTTTAATTGATTAGAGGGTTCCACTGGCTTTTCAGCTGCAGAATTATTATCACACCATGGGTGCCACATTTTAAAAGTATCTTCGTAAAATTATAAAGTTTACTGTTCTTTTACATATTTTTACGTACTTTCTTTCTTTGTGAGTTTTATAAAAACTAACTTCTGTTTTTTTCCAAAAAAACATTGAACGTTTACATCTATGGTTCCTGAGTTGAACTTTTTTTTATACTTAAACCCTCCATATCCTCATGATAATCTAGATTCACGTCTTTAATTTTTTTTGCAGATATTAATAATACATCGTCGATGTATCCATTTTCTACACCGCAGTGTAAAATTATAATTCTGTCCTTTATTGGGCGGTACTGAATTACAACACTTTTGTTATTATTCGTCCAACTTTTTTTCACCGTGTCATGAGTACCATACCAGGTTTCATCCAAATAAACAATATTTCGTTTAAAAATAAAGTTTAAAATAAAGTAAAATATTATACCTACCTACCCAAGTGTAAACCACTGGACGGTCAAAACGAAATTTATTTGGATAAACTACCTTATAGTTTCGGTCGCTCAGGCAAATATTGTTATCTTAGGCAAAGAATGCATCGATGATAACTTTATCTGGGCGACTGTACATCTTTTCTAACGTAATACCAGGCACATCTGAATGTAAATATCGATGGGAATATTAAAACTTTGTATTATAATACATCTCAGTCACTGATAATTTTGCAGTTAATAACTACTCCTGGTAGAGTACTTTTATTTTAATTTTTATTGCCTGCTTTTATTACAGAAAAATATATTTTTACACAGTCTCACCGAAATACGAGGCGACTATAAATATTGGAATTTTGTACTTGGCAACATTGGTTCACAATCTCTAGTGATTTCGGTTGTCAACAAATTCTAATAGTAAAAACACAACTTTCAACACAAAAAATGTTCTAGGACCCTTAGGAGCCAAAACAGCCCCTTTAAATCAACTACTATTACGTTAATTAACAACATCAAGGATTGAAATTAACCAATCTTTCATAAGAAAAGTCAAAGTTTTTAACAAAATTTTTAGCAAACAAAATTATTAAAAATTGTTTAAACATGAGCATTGTAAACAAAGAGTACTTTGCGCTCCGACGAGTGCAAAAGGAGTGCACCCTTCAAAAAATCCAACACAGTTTCAAAACAGAACGCTCGGAAGAAATGACATATCTCGGGTTATACTGGACCAAATTTGCAATCTCCTTTTTTTTAAACTGGGGTACAAAGTTAAAATAATAACATTTATCATATTTTCAATGAAAAATTATCCAAAACAAAGCAGCTAATAACTACATGATGTACAAATCTATTCCAAGTCACCTTTTTATTGTTACTTTTTTATTTAGGTATTTATTTAAAATAATTATATTAAATAAATGTTATTTATAAACAGTATTAAATTGTTATTTATAAATAATGTTTCTATACTCCTATTAAATTTTAACAAACCAGTTTTTTGTCTTATAACAATTATTTTTAGAACAAAAAATCGTATATATAATGGTATATTATGAGAAATTATAACAGTTGTGACAAAAACAAATATTTTTTACCAACTAGAAATGACTAAGGCTGTTCCCTCCTCAATCGAGGAGGAAATGGACACCTAAAAGAACCGCAACGACACCTAAGACATGGCGTCGGAAAAAATAAGTATTTAATGCAACCTCCAACACTAAAAGGTGGCAACGATGAAGAAAGACTTGCCAGCTGTGAGATGTGGTGTTATTGAAGAATGTAGAAAATATCATGAAAATGTAAAAAATACGGAAACCTCAAAAGTGAAAAGAAATACTTAAAGCTCTACTTAAAGTGGAAGGAAAAAGACCGGGGAGACGACGCACTAACTGATTAAAAAATTTAAAGCAGTGAAGTAGAAAAACAACAATAGAACTCTGCAGAATTGCTGCAAACAGAGACAAATGAGCCGTAGTAATCGCCAATGCACTTAAAAAATGAGGTATACTAATAAGAAGTAATCTAATCACAGACTAAGTATGCAGACATAATACTGCTGAAGACAGCATATTATAAAGCAATTGCATAGGTTTATTAAAATATACTTTATCAAATTATTTAGTTTTATGAGCATATCATTATTTCCAAGAAATGGTTAAATTTAGTACATATCAAGTGCGAGAACTTAAATGATCCCTATTTGGACGAACTGTTTCATTAGTACAAATTACTTCTTACCAATGATGTTAAATTGTGGTGTTTAAAACTTGCGCGAAGAAACTCCTACAAAAATGTATTTATCTACTGTATCATAGAAGATCGTCTTAACTAAAACGCATATATAACTCACCTGTTTGAGTTCTTCTATACCTAGCAATAAACGGGATTGTACTACCATCGTTAAAAAGATTAATTACGTTCCAAGCAATATGTTTACTTAAACTCATATTCTCTGCTAATAATTCATGATCCTTCCATGTTGTTTCACAATTTAAATTAACATGTTTAGTATCCAAACTTGTACTTGGCAGATTCATTTCCGTTTTTAATTTTTTAGCCTAAAAATTGATATTATTAAAATATACTACATATATACTGTGTATACTATACTAGTAGAAAAATAAAAATAATTTCATATAATCATTGTTTAAGATCAAGTAGTGAAGATTGAAACCCCTTTTTTGGATGACCAATTTGTTAGTATACTCACTTTTGGTGGATTTAATTCACTTTTCGCTTCTGATTTTACTTTAGCGTTATCTTTGGAATTTTTCCTTTTTAGATTGGGCTTAGGACTGGCAGTCTAAAAAAAGTTAAACAGCAAATATAAAATCTGATTTGGTATTTAATTAAAATTCATTTTAATCGATTTAAAATACATCTTTAATCTTGAAACCTCCATGCGGGATATTTCAGAGATAATCTCAGGGTAATCGTACGATATTTTTATTATTTGAACCTGTTGGCAGCATTGCTCTTAGCTATGTGTTAAAAGTCACGTATCTTGGACTATTTCTGTATGGCGAGACATTTCCGTGCGAATGGTTCAAAGGATTTATTACTTAGGAAGTGGGGTATCTTGTTAAGAGTCCTCCGAAGGATTTGATATTAGTGCCGATTGGATATTAGTGTGTACCAAAACCACATGTTTTGTTATTAAAAATTATGTCTGTTTTAGCTTCCATTTAAAATAAATTCTTGGAAAAAGCAACGAGTTTTAACACAAGAGGAACTTCAAATAATTGTCAATACCTTGAATTTAGATCATGAATCTGATGGTGAAATCGAGTACAAGAACGACCAAAACCGAATGGTGACTTTCCAGAAATTATCTTGGAGACTACATATAAAACGGATAACACTTTAGAAATTAACAGCGAAGAAGTATTTGATGCAAAACCTTTGAGTACGCAATTGGAAGATTGTTTAGTGCTAGTTTCCAGATATACCGAGAAATAATATTTAGTAGGAAAGTACTGAAGTTAGTCCGACTGCAATAAATAGTAAAAGGCGACGAAGAAATATTGTAATTGCACGTCCTGGTTTGACGTTGTACTACTAGTTTTTTTAATGTATTTTTTTAATTATTTAATTATAACGAATATGAAAGATATTAGTCTACATAGTAATGAAAAAGCTTCTATAAATTATCAACAATTGGAACAAATAATATCCAGACAATAAAAAAACCTGTAAAACACTTGACAATGATAAACTATCTAGAGTTAACTTTAGGGATGTTGTGAAGCCATACAATTTTTTTTCAATTCTTCTCTGTTTTGGGCTAGTTGTTCGTTTTCGTGCAACCTCGGTTATTCAGTATTTTTTTAACCCACCCAACGGCTTGGGAACCTTCCCCTAGATCTTTTTCCTTCAACTCTCCCCTCGATTATTAATTTTTATCGTGCCTGTTCTTCTGAAAATGTGTCACAAATACTGCAACTCTATTGTATTTGTTTATGCAGTATATCTTTTAATTTGAATTGTTCTAGTTTTGATACATTTGTTCGATGTTCAAGATGATTTTATGTTTTTACTTTGTTTAGGCTTCTGCCTCTTTAGGAAAGGGGTGCTCTTTTTTGTGTGGGTGTGGTAAACGTAAGGGTGATATGCGTGTGGAGTTGTAGTAGTGGAGTACTAGAAAGCTGGAGTTCAGAAGGTGGTGTATTGTGATAAGGAGCGCACAAGAGGTATTGTTAGTAAGCGAGACAAGCCAAAGGGAGGTCCTTCAAGGTGTTACCAGCCATACTAGGAACGGCTCTTAATTAACTTGTTTGGCTTGCAGTTGTTAGTTGCGACGTTTTATGGAGATTGAATCTAATATATCAAAATACTCATCACGAAGTTCGTTTACAGTGTTGTGTAAAAGTTTTGCTGTGGGGAATGGAACTTTTCTGCGCTTCTGGGTGCAGAATCTTAGAATTTTTCTTTCAGTGGCCATGATGGTGTTAATTTGGCCTGTATGCCAGACCTGGTCGAATGCTTTCTGGACGTCTAGGAATATGCTTATGACGTGTTTTCTTTCGTTAATTGATTGCGAAATAAAACTTGCTGCTTCAATCAATGCATTTTGTGTGAAATGCCCAGCTCTGAATCCGAAGTGATGACTTGGAATGGTAAAATGAACGTCTAGGAATTCTACGAGTCTCGTCTTAAGAATCCTCTCGTAGATTTTACCTAGGGTGCTCAGTAATGAAATAGGTCTGTATGATTCATGGTTGGTTGGGGGGTTTGCCTTGTTTGGGAATCATGACTGTGCTGGCCACCTTCCATGAGATTGGAAAGTAGCTCAGTGTAAGATATGCATTGATTATGTTGGTGAGCAGCGGCATTATATTCTCTGGAAGATTTTTGACGCATTTTCTGTGGATGCCATCAGGACCAGGAGATGTGTTTTTACCTATGTTACAAATCTGACTGTCGGTGTCCTCAGTAACTGGGGCCATCATCAGATGAGGATGGCGAACAATGTGAGCCTAAGGTTAGTAGAATATATCTTCCACTCTTTGTTCGGCTTCCCTTTTGGATCTTTCATTGAAATTGGGATTGTTGGGGAATGAGTGCGGCCTGGAGTGTGTTTTTGAAGTCTTCGGCCTTTTCATGTGGATTGCTAAGAATGACGTCATTGGCTATGGGATGTGAGCGGAATCGATTTTTTTGTTTTGTTAAGATTTTGAATTGGTTCCAAAATCTAGCACTCTCCCGGTAGTCTAGTTTGGCCGTAACTTGCATCCACTGTTGAGGCCGAGAGTCTGTTATATTCTGCTTTGATGAGTGGGTCTCGGACTCTTTTATACTCTCTGATCAATTTGCATTTTGCTTTGATTTTTTCGATGATTTTTGGTGGAAGAGTTGGAATATACAGATTAAATCGAGTTATTGGAATAGGTAGGGATGTGGCTTCTTGAAGAAGCGATGTTCAACACACGATATTCTTAACATGCGACGGAATTCCATGTCCCAAAAATCTTTATTTTATTTTTATCCGTTTTTTGCAGTGTCCACGTTTCGGGTGCATATGTGGCTATGTGAAAAATGAGTGCTTTTACTAACCGTAATTTTATGTGTACGGTTTGGAGTCTTTCAAATTGTTACCAGTTTCATCATAGCTGTTCTTGCAATAGAAAGCCTTAAGTATCCGTCCATCCAAATATCTACTATCATAATGTTTGTCTTATTCTTAATTATATGTAGTCCGTACTCTTTGCTTTTCTCCACCGGACGTCCCATTATCTTTTCCATTTCTTTTTGTTTTGAGGATATTATTGTGTCATGCAATGCAAAGAGATCAAGAGGCGGACCACAGATGAGGTGGAAAGATGAGATCAGGAAACAAGGAGGTCCCACATGGCAGAGATCAGCTCAAGATAGGGAAAGATGGAGAGAACTGGGGGAGACCTATATCCAACAATGGAAGGATAGAGAATAGGTTTAAAAAAAATTGTGTCATCGGATATCTCAGTTTACTGATTGTGTTTCTTCCAACCGACATTCCACCCCTCTATCCATCTAGTACCCTTGGTGTAAATGGAGAGATTATGCAGCCCTGCTGCATAATCTCTACAATATTTTTACTGTGCATTATTTTATCACTTATTAGCTAAATTAAGGGCTGGTTTTCATCCCTTATTGTTTATGTGATTGGCTTAAATTCTCTAGCTAGATATTGGACTTTGTTCATAAAATTCATAACGTATTTTTTTGGTTTCTTTCCTATTCAGATTCTTTCTATAGAGTTTCTACGACATTTCTAAATGCTTTCCACATTTCTTCTAGACTGTCTTGTGTCCGTAAAATGCCTTTAAAAGTTCCGTTAATGCGACTCTAAATGGTTCTGGATTTGAAATCTTAAATTTTTTGTGTGAGTGCTCAACTTAAAGCTTCAGCTTGAAGCATGTCCATATTCCAAAAAGGCTGTTAAGTACAACTTAAATAGAAGCTTTCATCATTCATGTTAATTGTTTTTTTTTGTTCGAAACGAGTATAAAGATGAATTTAAGTGAATAAGCTCTAAGACGTTAGGGAAGTCATAGAGAATTGTGAGATAAATATTGCGTGGTGTAGTATGCATAAAAGGGAATCGTTTGTAGACGATTATTTTCTTCATCACAATAATATACAAGCGTATTCATGTTACCTTGTGTAAAAGTTTTTGGCCAAACTAAAGGGTTCATAACATTGTTTTTGGAGTCTACAAAACTAAAACTGTCGCTTGAAAGACAAAGTTTCGGTGACATAGAGGATGGCATTGAAAGTAATTAAAAACTGGATATCAGAATTGTTTTTGTAACTTAAAGCGTAGGGTACGTGTTATGTGGAATGAAGAATTCCGCTGGATGAAGCAGATTGAAGCACTAAGAAGTTATGAACGAAGGTTTTTTTTGCACTCGTATTTAGCGTTTATTAACGAGATACTTGTGAAACGAGCACTTAGGACAGGGTAAAAATACTCATTACAACTTATTGTGTAAGACCTAATACAAGGGAACTAAATTTGGGAAGACGAAGAATATCCTGGCTCAAGAACATAAGGAAATGTTTTGAATACAGCAGTGTAGAACTATTTATTTGCGAACAGGGCCCGCATAGCCATGATCATTTTCAATCCTCGATAGAAGATGGAACTTGAAAAAGAAGAGATACTTGTCTCTACTTCACAGATTATACACTGTTGGAAAGAGAGAGAATTCAACTTGTTTTGGCTGTCTAGTATCTTGTCACCTTCTGGTAGAGCATAGAGTGTAAAATGAGCAAAAACGAACAACGACAACCCATCTCTAACCGTACTACTTATTCATCAGCCGACTCCCGTAACTTCGAATTCCAATTGTTTACTAAAGCATAGCTTGAACCATAAACCTACTGAGACTAAAGTAAGTCTGTCAGTCAATTCCATTCCAAAACCATTCCATTTGTTTAAAAAACATTTCTGGATATTTCCAAATAATTGGACGAGGATACACGAGAATAACATTCTCTTGATATACATATACATATATATATATATATATATATATATATATATATATATATATATATTTATATATATATATATAATATATATATATATATATATATATATATGAAACCTAGAGCTAAGATTAACACTATTACAAAAATTAATATTAAACTCACCAGTCTTCCGGCTTGAACCGCGTCTATATCCATTTTGCCGAGCTTTCGCCATCCTCTCTGATGTCTTCCTCAGTGCTTCCGAGGTCTCAGTCTCCCGAGCCCCCAAACACTACTACACGGTTTACTGATCACTGCACTACTCAGTGAACAGTGTAGTAGTGTCTGGGGGCTCGGGAGACTGAGACCTCGGAAGCCCTGAGGAAGACATCAGAGAGGATGTCGAAAGCTCGGCAAAATGGATATCGACGCGGTTCAACCCGGAAGACTGGTGAGTTTAATATTAATTTTTGTAATAGTATTAATCTTAGCTCTAGGTTTCATTGTACTAACCGCGGAAATCTTTTCGAACATTATATATAATATATATATATATATATATATATATATATATATATATATATATATATATAATTTATCTATAATATATAATACTATTATATAATATACATAATTTATATAATATATATTATATATATATATATATATATATATATATATATATAATATATATATATATATTATGTGTGTGTGTGTGTGTGTGTGTGTGTGTGTGTGTGTGTAAATTGGGAAATAGCAGAAATCAATCAATTTTTCTAAACCATCTAAACAACAATAAAAAATAATTATACATATACCTTTAATGTTTCGTCGCCATCTTGTATGAGTTTTTCATTTTTGATCTGCGCCGTAGTAGCCTTTACAGTTTCATCTAATGAACTGGATTCATTATTGATCCTTGGTGTTGTCGGTTCTTTCTTTACTCGTGTCTTTCTCACAGTTGGTTCTTTTTTCACTTGTGGTTTTTTTACAACTCGTTCTTTCTTTACTTGGGGCTTCTTTATTGTGGTTTTTACAATCGGTACCTTTACTGTTGATTGCTTTGTTTTAACTGGTGCCCTTTTCCTAGTATTTTTCTAAAATAAACAAACTTATATGTACAATAATTATATATGTAATTATAGAATATACGGATATTTTAAACTTACACGTTTTCCGAATATATACTGAGATACAATGTGTTTTAATATTGTTATAAAAATAAATCGATGCAACAGAGTATCAAAGTACGAAACAGAAGAATTCTTGTAAAAAAATATACATATTACATTTTCAGACTCTAGAATTTTTCATTGATGAAAAAGAAAAAAAAGCATAAGAATATAAGAAGACATGTTAACCCCAAATTCAATAGTTTTTTTCTAAATATCAAGAATATAAAATGAATTAGACTTCAATGCGAAGGTAGAGACAGGAAGAGATGGAGAAGTAGTAGGCAAACATGAAATAGGAACACGTAATGAGAGAGAAGAGAGGTCAGTTCAGTTTTGCAAGGACAACTCATTATCAAGAACACATGCTAGAAACTACCAGTCCAAAGAAATCGTTGTAAACCAAAGATTCCGTAACGCCATAGTATCGACTAAAGCTTACCCAGATACAGATTTAATAAAAAGTGACCACAACCTTGTTTTAGCAGACATGAAACTCAAACTAAAGAAAATAAAAATAGCCACCAAAACAGCTAGAATTAATCTAAGAAGATTAATAGCAGCTGAGCTGAGCCAACAGATCACAAACAGATTACGAACACACAAAGAAGTGCAGAAAGTAGAAAGACAAGGAAATTTTAACGTAACAGATAAATGGAGAGAGTTAGAGAAGATTCTGAGGAAGATTATACAACAAAAATTAGAGAGCTATACATCCCCTAAAAACAAACAATGGATAACACAATAAATAAAGTCATTAGTCAATACAAAAACTTAGATAAAACAGTCAAACACAAAATCCAAGAAGCGAAGGAATTGTGGCGATTAAAAAAATGTGCAGAAATAGAAAGATTAGAAAAGCAATATGACAGTTTTAGCATATAAAGAAAAATTAAAGAAACAACTGGCATATACAAAAAAGAGGTGTTGGAAAACTAATGGACAAAAATAACAAAATAATAATTGAAACAGCAAAGAAAATAAATAGATGGGTTGAATATATAAAAGAGCTATTTGAAGACGAAGAAAGAATGAAAACAACAGAACCAAGAGGTAGAAATTGACCAAAAATTAATAAAAGGGAAATTGAAAAGAACTAAAACGTATAAAAAATCATAAAGCCGAGGGACCTGATGAAATACCTACAGAAATCTTAAGACTACTAACAGAGAACCACACTGATATACTAGTAGAATTATTCAATGAAATTTTATTGTGAAATTCAGTGTAATATTAATAGATAAGTTTTGCAGTAGTTGCCGTAGTGTGCATAGGAGTATTGTATCATAAACTTTCCTCATGTCCACAAATAATAGATGAGTTGGTCTATCCCTAGCCATTATTTTTTCAATTACTTGGGTTAAAGTGTAGATGCGGACGATGCAAGATCGTCCAACTCGAAATCATGCTTCCTGTTCCAGCTCAAGTGGTTCATATTCGTTTTCGACTAGGGTTTTCATTACTTTTCCGTACAATCTACTGAAAGTGCTGGTAACTAAGATGCGGCAATAGGTTTTGCAGTCTGCCTTATCCCCTCTTTTATGGATCAGTATTATCCATCTTTCTTTCCAGCTTTCATATATATTATCTCCGTTTAGGTGTCTATTAAAAAGTTCTCTCGGCATATTGACAAGCATCGGTGTTGCATTTTCTAAAAGTTCACCAGGTATTCCTTCTGGTCCATAGGCTCTTTTATTTTTCATGGTTTTTATGTTTGGCAGTTAAGTAGCCTCCGATGTTTATTTCTGGTCCATGGATTTTGTATCTTCTGGTTATTTGTTGGAGATATTCAGGTCTGGACTCCTGTAGTTCTTTTGCGTAGTAACTTTTGAATACGTTAATGTTGATGGTTTGTAGGTTTCTTGTATTTTGTTGTTGTTCTTTCATTCATTAACTCCAAAATTTAATGTATTATAGAGTCCTTTTTTTATTTTATTATGGTAAGCGCTTTTTTATTTGGTTTCATAACAGCTACTTTAAAAATTTACTATTGATTTTCCAAGTTCACTATTTTTTATACTTAAACTCACACAAATATAAAAATATAAAAGTTCCATTCAAAACAACAGTTTTGTTGTGACCAATGATGCCAATGGGTCAAAGAAGAAAAAAAAACGGAAGGGGATGAAATTTTGAACAGGTGGAAAGAATACTGAAATAACATACTGACAATATAACATTATGGACATAACATCATCATCATCCAGCTTTCATTTATTACGTCCACTGCTGGACATAGGCCACCCTTAAACCCCTCCATTCTTTGCGATTGTGTGCTCTTTGTTGCCAATTTTTCGTGATACTCCTGATGTCGTCAGCTCAACATGTACGTGGTCTTCCTCTACTACGTTTGTCTGCTCTTGGACATAACATACTGGTAAGCATTATACAGAAACGACTGAAAGAGAGACTGAAGAAAGAGTATACTCTGGTCAATATAGTACATAAAATAGGCAGGGCTTATAAACAATATAACAAAACAGTAGAAATTGAAATAGGTGACCATCACTGGAGTTTCAGCAAATATGTGTCATAATAGACCAAATACTCCAACTGCGTGAGATACAATCAAAAGGCTTTAACTATGAAAAACCTACGGTAGCTATTTTTGTAGATTTCAAGCAAAATTTTGACAGAGAAAAAGAAAACGATTTAGAAAGTGCTAAATAAAATATGCATAGATAATAAACATTCCTAAAAAGTAACGTGGCCTAGTCTTGATTAAATATGGCCCAATGAATAAACCACAAGACATGATCATGGTACGGGAAATGATAGAAGCGCTGAGAAAAATATGTGAAAATGGACAATATGTATGAAGGTCCTAATATTCCAGCAGTCATATAAGAACAATTGGGTTTAGATGGATCTAGAGCTAGAGGATACTGATTGGAGATTCCAAGAAATAATCACATACTTGAGGAGAACGAAACTTTAAACTAGTGGCGAAAAAGATGTGGACAAATGATTTAAAGAATTAAGTATAAGATAGTAAATAGAAAATAATTGGAAAATACTAAACGAAGCTAAGGAACTACAACGTCGCAGAGATACTATATAGATCTTCATTAATATATAGGCATATACACTCTAAATACTTAAAGATATTAAAACACACTTACTACTGGGGTTTCTATATCACTTTCGTCATCTGTGATTTCAATTAGAGAATTGTTATTTTCATTTCTCTTTGGTTTTGATTTAGTAGACGATTCTTTTTTGCCATCAATCTAAAATAAAACAATAATTAACAGATGTTTTTTTTTATTTGCAACCACCAATATTTAACAAAAAATTTTTTATTTGCAACCACCAAGCACACCAATAATTTCATAATTTTTAAATATTTTTTCATAGAAATGCAATATGTTGATATTTATTTATGTACATGTGGCATTAAATTGCAATATTCACTTTCAAATCGCGAAAGAGGTCGATTTTTATTTTCAAACTATGTTATGTTTGATCCAATTCCAGGTAGATGGCGCCGTTCATTCTGATGAGATAGTGGATGATCGCCCGATATCTAGAAGCATAGGTGTATAGTATATACAGAGATCGATTTAACTGTAAGCTTTTCTCAGAAATATAAAGTGCGTATTGTTTTGAACTAAACTGGTAATACATTGAATAAAAACTAAATAAAATAAGTGTTATGAACATTTTAATAAAATAACAGCTTTAAATCGGGAACTAGAAGATAAAGAACTGAGTTCTATTGGGAAAAAGCTGATTTAGTCCAACGACTAAGGAAGCCTAAAGATAGTAAACTCGTTTAAGAGTAAGGTACCGTTCGCGTCATAAAAAACTGGTACAACTCTTATAATCAAAAATCGTGTTTTTTAAGTTGTGTACGTTGATCTTGTCATATGCGTCAGTCTAATTTCTAGGGCACCGTTGCCAGTTCAACGAAAATATTATATTAAACCAGCTAAAACCAGCGTTGTGTGACAGACCGCCAGTTTTGAGTATACTAGTCACGTTTTGAAAAGCGTTTTTTCGTCCCGAATATTTTAGTTTATAATACACGTAATACATATAATAATGTTTTTCACATTTTTTATCGTTCTGGTAATAAATAATAAATTAATCTTGGTAGTTTGCCTATTACAAAACTTATTGACATAAAATACAAGTCGTGTTAGGTAGGTAATTGAAGTATAAAATTACAGTAGATGCATTCCAATGTTCCTTAGGTTTAAAGATCCTTCAAACATTTTGGATATCAACTCAACCCTATCTCTGGTCATTTAATCTATTAGATACGATTTTTTGTTGTTAATGATAAAAATAATACCTATCTAAAATTTTTATACATTTTTAAACGTTATTTTTTTATTTAGATTTAGTGCAATTCCGTTATCTGTGATGGCAACAACGAATTGATTCACGAACCATTGTGTCTAGTCTGAACACAGGTTTACATTGGGAAAAAAAGTGTACCAGTTTTATATGACGGGAAGTGTACCTTTATATTTCACAATATCGAAAATTATTGTTATTATATGCAATTACATATATCCTTCTATTTGAAAACAAAAATTTGCAATGTTTCTCAAATTACCGATATTTAACATCATTTTTATTTACTACAAATATGATAACTCCTTTAGTATTAATTTTACGGAAAAAAGTTATTTATAAAAAGCTATGCATGGTTTAAATCCTAGGATGCGATTATAAGATAATACATTTTTTCAATCTTTACGAGATACATAACAATACGTGAATTTTGAAAACGAAAAAAATTTCAATAGATCACATGCCATAAAAAAAATGGTTCGATAATGATTGCCTGAACTCCATAACATCAAGAAATATGGCTAGAAGGAACATGCTACAAAACCCCTCGCACAACAACAATGAAATATATAGACAAAGAAGAACAGAGACAAGAAAACTAATAAAAAGGAAGAAGAGAGAGTATCAGGAACAAATAATCAGAGATATAGAAGAAAAACGAAAAAACAAACAAGCGAGACAGTTCTTCAAAGCAGTTTCAGATATCAAGACCGGGTACCAAGCAAGAACAGGAAACTTCCTTCAAAACGAGAGTGGACAGCTTATCACGGATGACAAGGAAATCCTAAAAACCTGGAAGGAATACTTCTATCAACTATTGAATGACCAATCTAGCAGAAATACATCAAACATAGAGGTACATACAGCTGAAATAGAAGACCAATACCCGACATACGAAGAAGTAATAGAGGCAATTAAAAAACTTAAAAATTATAAGACACCAGGTAGCGATGGTATACCCGCAGAATGCTTAAAACATGGAGGAGAAGCGTTGTACAGTTCTATATACAAGCTAATTCAAGACATTTGGCGAGAAGAAACAATGCCAGATGAATGGAAAGAAGGGGTGATTGTACCAATACACAAAAAAGGAAACAAAAAGCAATGTATTAACTACAGGGGAATAACACTCCTAAACACCACCTACAAAATCCTTGCAAACATCCTGCTAGAAAGAACCAAAACATATACAGAAGAAATCGTTGGAGATTATAAATGCGGATTTAGACCGGGCCGCTCTACTATTGACCAGATATTCACAATAAAACAAATAATGAAAAATGCTGGGAGTTTGATCGTGAGCTTCATCAGATGTTCATAGATTTTAAACAAGCATTTGATACAGTATGCAGGGACAGACTGTGGACAGCGATGCAGAAACTTGGCTTTCCAAAAAAACTAGTCAGGTTGATACGGATGTGTATGGAACGGTTACGATGTAAGGTGAGAGTTGGACAACAATATTCGGAGACATTTGAAATAAACAATGGACTAAAACAGGGAGATGACCACAACTCTTCAACTTAGCTCTGGAGCACATAATCAGAAGTGAAAGAATCGAAAAACCAATACAGTATTTCATCGAGAAGGACCAAACTTACTACTGGCATTTGCAGACGATATTGATCTAATAGGAAACACACGATTAAGGATGAAGGAGAATTTCGTGAGATTCGAGAAGGAAGCAGAGAAGATGGGGCTCCAAATCAACGAAAACAAGACGAAATATATGTATATGAGCCGCAATAACCAAAGCGGAGACAGAATCGGTCAGAAAATCACCATCAATGACTTTAACTTTGAGCGCGTTAGAGAATTCAAGTATCTTGGAATAACAATAACTGAAGACAATAACGCATCGCAAGAAATAAACAACAGGATTCAGGCCGGCAACAGATGTCTTTTTGCCCTCCAAAACCTTATAAAATCAAAACAACTAACACGAGGTACGAAGATACAGGTATACAAAACAATCATACGCCCGTTGTAATGTATGGAAGCGAAACGTGGACAATAACAAAGGCAAACGAAGAGAGACTATGTGTTTGGGAAAGAAAAATCCTAAGGAAGATCTTTGGTCCTGTGCTGGATGTAGCATCAGGACAGTATAGGATAAAAACTAACAAAGAGCTGGAAGAACTTTACCCAGACGCCAAAATCATAAAAGATATAAAGTCCAGAAGACTCCAATGGGCAGAACACCTCAGAATACATTCTGACGAACGAACAATAAGACTGGTGTGGGAGAAAGTCCCAACTGGAAGGAGACCACGCGGACGCCCTCGTCTCCGGTGGCGAGATAATGTAGCAGGAGACCTAAGCACTATGGGCGTGGAGAATTGGATGGAGGTTGCTCAAGACAGAAAACAGTGGAGGCATGTTGTCGAGTCGGCTAAAACACACGAAGAGTTGTAACGCCACGGAGTAAGTAAGTAAGTAACATGCCATAAGTCAGAAAAATCGGAAGGGCGCTACGTCGTGTATAAATCATAATCTCTAGTTCCTCAGATTCATACATTCATCAATTTGCGGATTTTCAGCCATAGTTTCACAGTGTTTAAAAATTTTTGATATTAGTAGGTTATTTAATCTTGAGTTTGAATATTTTTGGATAATGAATATTTCCATAATTTCCATAAGTTGAAAAAAAAGTTATTTTTTTTTATTTTCTGTCTAATAGTTATCCAAAAAGATAACGCACATTAAATCTTGTTGAAGTTTTATATTTTCCAAGTTTAATATGTCACAAATATAATATGTAAAATTAATAAAAAAATAAATGCTGTCCCACCAGGAATTCAATTGATCAATATAGGTAGATCTACAGATAGGAAAATAATGTTCACAAAGTGTTACTTATTCTATTTTTAAAAGTAAAAAATCATAAAACAGTTATAAATTATTTCATCCATATATGGGAATAATTTAGAAGAAATTCTGTCCTTCAATATTTTATTCTTCTTCTGTTACCTGAGCCCTTTTTTAAATGAAGGTATATTTGAATGTATTTCTTTTTCCTCTAAAATATCTAATACATCAAAACACCGATCCGCTAAATTAAAATCTCCTTCAATCCGAAATTCCGCATTGTACTGTAATCTGAAATACTGCCTCAATAAACATCAGATACATTATTTCACTTTCTTCAGAGCATGCTATTTATATGCTATATATTTTAAAGGCATTGGTTCCATAATGTGTAGAATATGTTGCCTGCTGTATAATAGGGTCATTGCTTCGGTCTATTGAAATTTCAGTACAGTCCAGAATAATTTTGTACTGGTCTTCTGAAGTTGTTGCAATATTCTACAAGTTATTTTTTTAAGCAAGTGTAAAAATGCTTGGTCCACTTAACAAATATGTTTTGGGCAATTCGAATGTCTTACCTCAAAAAATGCTTTAATGTAAAATAAAATAAATTAGGTCTATATTTCATAAGCGTTTTTAAGAGTAAATTTTGTACTATAAATTTTAATGTATGATTTTCCAAACTCTTTAACAAAAAATGTAAAAATTTTTCTTTAAAAACTAGTAAAATGTTTCAATTGTTCTTCTGACAAAAATTCCTAACAAATCAATTGACTTCTATTCAATGTAATCACGGTTTGAGTTGTAATACATGTTTTTGAACTCGCTGATTTATTTTCATTAGCAGATGTCTCTGTTGAACCACACTGTTGTGTATCATTCTTAACTGTTTGTAATAATTATGTTGCTCTTTGCTCTTTTTTTTGGTGGCAATACTGCTGCACAAACTCTTTTTCTATCCTATCACTTCTCCCAGAGTCCTTCACTGGTGTCTCCAACTTTCTTTTTGGTAAGTTTACTGAAGGTACTTCATCTTTTTTAATAATCGTCCATTGTCCTAAAAAAACAAGACAATGACATTCAATAAATTAGGATAAGTATTTTTTAACTTACCCAAACTTGAAACGGTATTATACTAAATTCATTTAACAGAAAAGTAGCGGTCAACAAATGCATGCAGAGAACACGTGAAACCTGATGTTTATATAATCGTACAGGGTTGTATTAAGATTCTAGCAGTCTATAACATCTGAATTTGAAATGAATTAATTTATAATTTTTAGGATTACTGTCTAAATAATAGTAATCAATGATTAATCTTCCAAAGAAATATACTTAAATATAAGTTTTTGTAAACTGTCATTCACACATCATTGGTTAATTGTGGTATTAATCAAAAGGCAAAAATAGAAAGTTGTTTTTATATATTTTACGCTTTAAGACCAATATTTGGAAATAAGTAATATTATCATTAATGATATAAAAAGAGACCTCTTCTTGTGTAAAAGTTAGGGAAAATACTTATACATATATTATTGGGTAGATAGAATTATACATTTAACATTACATTAACATTAATAAACAAAATTTATTTAGTCGACGTTTCGATTTCGATTTAACATTTATTTGTGTCAGCAGAAACGAATGTATATTTAGAAGAAATGTGACGTCACTATTTTTGACTTTGATGTCGAAGATGGTTCGAGATATCAAAATGCCGTTTTCAGATTTTGATTCAGGAGACAAATTTGATTCAGACATCGATAGATCGTCCCCAAGTATTGCATAGGCGACAACGCACAAACGAACATACTTTGCAGATGTAAAACGAAAGGTTTTCTTTGAAAATGATGAAAACACTTTATACTATTACATATAAGTAATATCGAATTACGAAAAAAAGTACTGGAAAACTACATAGGTACAATGAGTAAAATGGGCTACAGTTTTTCATTTTTAAAATATTCCATTTTGTTTATGTAATTTCGAATAATTTCGTATCTTTTATTTATCATTGCTACTCATTTCCACCTCAAAAGCTAGATCCACCTTTAACCGGATGGGAGCCTTCTTCAAGATCCACAACCTCTCTCTTGGTATAAAAGTAAGAATGCTACGATACTACGTCTTCTCTGTTCTTTTTTATGGTGTTGAATCGTACACCTTGAACGAAGATAGGTGCAGAAAATTGGAAGCATTTGAGATGTGGCTATATCGGAGAATACTTAAAATCCCGTGGACTGATCGAGTCACCAATGAGGAGGTCCTCAGAAGAATGAAGAAGAACCGAGACGTACTGACCACCATCAAATCTAGAAAGTTACAGTACTTTGAACACATTATGCGAAATGAATCCAGATATGCCCTTCTACAAGCCATCCTGCTAGGAAAAATATTTGGACAACGGAGTCCTGGTTGAAGAAGGAACGCCCTGTAGGAAGAAGAACGTCCTGGTTGAAGAACCTCAGAACCTGGTTCAACAAAACATCTATGCAGCTTTTCCGCGCTGTGGGAGATAAGGTGAAGATTGCCATGGTGATTGCCAACATTCATCACCGATAGGCACATCAAGAAGAAAAGAACTCATTTCCACACCACCATAGAGGTAGAGTGATAATGGTGCGTTTTTTTAATGTAGTTTCCCCGGTAAGCCTAATCCACAAATACTTAAACTTAGTGCAAAATATTATTCTGAGGAACTAGATGTACTATCATCGCCAGGGTTTATTATAATTGAATCTACTCTGGCTTCTACTAAATTATCTAACTCCTACATTTTTGGTTCCACCTTTTGGGTAACATGCTGTACACAATTTTTTCCATTTTTGCGGAGTTATGGTGGATAGAGCTTCATCAAATAAATTTTTCATGTCGGCAAACTTAAAAGTTGTATTTTTAGCTGCTACATAATTTTTTATATCTGTCCATATCAGCTCTATGGGATTCAACTCACAGTGATATGGTGGCAATCTTAAAACAATTTTATTTTGACTTTTCGCCATTTCGTCGATAATTTATTTATCATACTGTTTTTTATTTTAATTAACAAGTGATAAAAGTTACACTTTGAGAAGTGAGTCGTCAAAGGGGATGCTTTTTAGATGTAGCCATTCTTGGATATCCGCTTTTCTAGAAGATGTGGTGGGGATCTTTTCAGATTTTCTGGAATGATACGACGCATTGTCCATTACAATCACAGAATTTGCTTCCAATTTGGGTAAAGTCTTTTCAAACCAACCTTTTCCATCCATTTACTCATGATAATCTCCACTTTTCTTTGATTCAAAACTCCATAGAGCGTCAGGAACAAATCCGTCTTCGCTGCCTATGTGACAAATAATTAGTCGCTTTTCTTTACCTAAAAAATCAAATATTATTTATCAATTTCAATGTTCAACAAGAAATATTACCTGATGGATTTTTCAGACCTTACGAGAGTCCATCCAAAAATGCTTGTCTTGATGAGGTGACTGACTTATCAATCCATGTTTTTGATTTAATATGACCGGCGTTAATCCAAGTCTCATCTAAATATATCTTATGATTGTCATTTCTATGATGTTTTATCTGCCTTAAAAATTCTCTTCTCCAGATTACAAGGTCATCTCTGTCCGTAAGCATACTGTTCCTGCCACGTTTTTCAAATTTGAATTGAATTTTTTTCAGAGGCTTGTAAAAAGTAGTACGTTTGAAAGTCAGGTAGATTGGGGTCGTCGTTGACCTGTTGTAGAACTCTATCTATCGTGAGAATTTCATTTCTAAAAAAGAATTGATGCACTATTCTTCTTATAAATTTTGACCTTGTCAAAATCATCTACAGATTGTAGTTTGCCTTTACGAGTGGTACATTTTTTTGGTGCAACTAATGCGTGTGTAGTTTTATATTCTCTAATAACTTTAAACACAGAACTATCCGATACTCCAACTTTATCAGCTACTCTTTTCTCAACATCGGACAATATTAACGGCGGATTTTCTTGTAACTCGTGCTTATACACGTTTACAATTATTTCTTTAACGTCTACGCTTAAATGGCCTTTTTTCGATCTCTTTTTGGGAGGAGTTAAAGGTATGTTTACGAGTTCATCGGCAGAATCCGTGTCCGACATATTAATTTGTTTTAGTGACTGTATATACAAACCTGTAAAGTATTATTTACAGGCTAATATTCTAATAAAATAATAGATATATAATAGATAATTGAACAGATATATTAAAAAGGTCAATATTTGCCTCATCCTCAGGCAAAGAAAAGAGTTTGTATGGAAGTATGGAACAAATTCTTTTTTAGCTAAACAGAGCATTTTAAGAAATAATCCTGAAACACGTCGATTTTTGATTTTAATTTACCGTATTTTAAAATAGTATTCTAATATAC